GGATTGGGTTCAAAATTACAAGGTTACGGAATTGAGCATTAGTAATCATAAACCCAAAAATTGGGTCGGCTGTTCAACAACGGATATAAAAAAAGCTTTATTGTACTCTTTTGGCTAGGAAGTTTTGGACCACCACCCCTGTATCCCAGACCTTGCACCGAGTGATTTTCAATTTTTCCAATATTTCAAACATCATTTCTTTGGTAATCACTACAACGATGACGAAGACGTGAAAACAGCTGTGACGTCTTGATTATCGGATCAGGTAGCAAGTTCCTAATGAAGAGGATATCTAATTGTAAGGCATAATGATTTAAACAAACTTGGTAATTATTTTGAGACATAGAAAAACGTGTGATGAATCTGAAAATAAATTAGCTTCTTGAAAATTTTCATTCGTTTGGTTTTTATTTCCGAGCGGGCTTTACTTAAAAAACACTCCTCGTAATTGATCAACAGATGATATTTACTTTAGAGGAAATGATTAAACTTTTAGAATTGAATCTTAAACTTTGAGACATTTAGTCTAAAACCTAAAAAGAAACATTCAACATTCGTATAAAAAAAACATTTTTGCTATAATTCATTTTTTTGAGAAACTCTCCTTTATTCTTTGTTCAATAGTTTTACAAGAAGTTTATTGTTTTATTTATTATTTTTCTTGCTATGATTGATTTTCAAACTGAATTCGTTTATTTAGCTCAATAATAATAGTTATAACTAAAATTTTACAGTAGATTAAATAATTTATAAAATTGCTAAACTTCATCCAACTTGCAATAAATTCAATTAAATATTTAAAATTTTGATTGAAAAATAACTATTAAATAAATGAAAATAATTATTAAAGTAACAATCAAACGAAAGCTATATAAGTCAAAAAATACCTTTAAACGAAGCTTTGGTATAGTAACAATATAAATCAATCAAAGATCCAATTAACATGAAAAAACCGGCCAAGCAATAGACAAACCTGCAATAAATATGATAAATTGGAATATTAAGTCCTCTTGACACCATCGCTTGCCAATATTAATTTAATTGTAAAAATAAAAAAAATATTTTGACACACATATTAATATACTTAAATATTTAATATATGCTACATATTAAATATTTTTCTACGTTTAATATTAAACTTGATAACTTTTAAGTTTCCCTTTAGAAAGATCATAAACTTAGATTTAACTAATTAAAAAACGGGAGTAATTAACACAGTCTGTTTAAAACTAAAAAACTTCTAAAGATTTCAAAGGTGAAAACTAGGTCAAACTAGTGCTAGTTCGAAACTAAATTTATCTTCTAATTAAGGCTAGGGTATATTTAAGAAAATGTGATATAAGGCTATTCATAAATTACTCTGGTCCGATGCACTGCTACAGTTTTCATTCTAAAATAACGGTAAAATAACCGGCAGCAATCTGTCCTTACAATTAACCATAAAGTTAACGGTTGGAAACATTTCTTGTCTTTACAGTTTTGAAACCGTAAAGACAGTTAGTATGGTTAAAAAACGAAAGAATGAAATGCAGATATAGTAATTAATTTATTCTAGGCTTTTTGTTAGGTAACCTTTGGCGTTAAGGTTGAATTGAGTTGTGTTTTGCCAAATGAACCATGGAACGTGGCTAAATTAGTTTTTGTGGTATTGCCATTTATCGCAAGAAATACTAGACTTTTTGTGCTAAACAACTATATAGTGCTGCCCTCATTGCGTGAAGGAGAAAGTTTACTTTTCTAAAAGTGCAGGGTCACAAATTAAGAGGAGCACTGGAAAGTGTTCATCTGTGGAAGGAAAAGTTGTGTCAATGCTGTTATTCAAACCCTGGTTACAGTCAGTCATGAGATTTTCAGATAAGCCTTCTCAGCTACAGTGTGTATAAGTACCCAGCTGCAAGTAACTAAGTGAGATCATATAGTCGATGCGAATGAATTTTGGTTGCTTAACAGTATAAAGTGGAAACAGTCTAAAAACGATTTTTCTCATAGTTAATAGAATAAATAACGTCTTTTTTTTATGGTTATTTGACTGTTTCGGTTGAATATAATAAAATAACAATAAAATAAATTTTTTTAACCATTTTTTCCCCAAGAAATTGGTAAAAGTGCAGAAAATCTATGAGACATGTACAATATTAGGATTCACTACACTGGTGTATTTTTTTAAAGTTACGGTTTATTAAGTATATCAAAATTTGTTTATCAAAAGAAATTTCATGCAAATTTTTGGTAAATAAGCATTATTTTCTATTATTGTATTTAATAACAGTTAAAAAAAATTTTGAATTGTAAAGAAAATTTTTCACACCATTTTAAAGAATGTAATTTTGCATGACAATATACAAAATATGGGCCTGAGATATCAAATTTTAAATACACAACTCTTTTATTCTCTTGAGTTGATCAATAATCAATGTATAGTAAACATGACTGTGTACAACAATTACTCTCTTGTTACAATATCAGTGGAAGCTGTTAAGATAAGTAAAATAGTTTTTTTTCAACGATAAAACATACCCAAAAAACTAATAAATATTGTTATACTATGTTCTTGTAACATTTCATCAAAATTTACGTCACGAAGATGTTTACAAATATCAATGAAAAAAAGAGGTATTGTCTGTCTAAGCTAAGAACTCCTCCCGCCACAAAGTCTGAGGCCGTCTGGTGCTATGGAAACAAGAATGGCGCATTTTAAGGAGGGTAGCTTCATTCTAGAACTAAGCAATAGACCAAAGAGATTTCCTGTCTCTTGCCCACCCGACCCGAAACCACTCCAAAACCGGGACCCCGCCCCCCTACTTGAAATAGTCATACCTCGTTACCGTAGTCACAGCCACAGGTTCAGACGAATGTCTAGAGGAGTTCTTATTTTAGACAAATTATACCAGTTTCTGCTATGGCCCCCAATAAAATGCAATTTATTGGACATCGCCGAACCATCTGCTTTTGTTTGGTACAAGAAAAATCAAATAAAATTGTTTTTCTAATAATTTGCTTGATACTAATTTTAAAGTTTAATTATAAATGGTAATTTAGTGAATAATAATTCACTTACTTAAAACTATAAATAAATTTAACTCTTTTAGTTCAGATTTTCTCTTTATTTTCTTCTAAAAAAATTTAAAAAATATCTAAATGTTGTAAATTTTTAAATATACTTTGAAAGTTTTGTGTCTAAATTCGATATCAGGAAGACTTTGTTCATGAATAATGTTTCAGTCGATTTTAAAAGAATAATTTAGGTGTCGTAAGGATATCCCACCCAAAGTGCTAACTTAGTGACATAGAAATAATTAAAGTTTTCCAATTTTCATTATCGTTTAGAATAAAATTTCACTTAAAACATCAAAAAAGAGCTAAACAGATACATATTGTTAGATATTCAGAGCTAGCTCTACACTACAAGCAAGATATCCTCAATTTATGATAGTTGTTACAAAAATCTAGAAGTATTATATCTATTAACGATTAATATTATAAATTTCCAAACATTTTCCAGTATTTTCCGTTTGTAAATTTTACGACGGTTACTTATATTATACAATGTGTGCATACTTACATAACGAAAATTATTTTCGGTGGGTATTCCTCTTCTTGCTTTATTTCACATCTTGATGCATGAGCATCAAGGTAGAAAGATGAAAAAACTGTAAAAGAAAATATGAAGTATTTTTTTTTTAATTTGAAGTCAAGCTTACCAGTCAAAATTGATCGGAAATTTATCTATAAGTTCTTCTTCTGACAATTTTTGAAGAGTTATGATAACGCTTTAATGCAGAATTTTCATTAAGCTTATTTTTCATAGTTTTTTCATTATTTTGTTTTAATTTAGATCAAAATAAGAAAAAGATATTATGTTTAGCATTTTAATAACTTATGTTTACGTTAAATACAGCATACAAAGCTAGTGTCTTTTTCTGCGTTAGAGGTGAAATCTTTCATGCGCGGCTCACTTCCAAACAATTATTTTTCAAATTTGTACTTATTTGTAGTTTTTCAAATTTATGAGAAACTATTTTTTATTAAATTATTCATAATTGAAATTTCTTTTTCTTTTTATGAAAAAGGAACTTCTGCTTTTTTTTGGATTTTATGCATTAATACAAATATAATTCCGATTGTCAAACAAATATTTTTTTTTTGAAACTGCTATACTATTATGTTTTTTATAATTAAAAAATGCAAAAACATATTTTTGCTTGTAATTAGTGCTTTAGAAAAAAATATATGAACAGAGCCACAGTGTCCCATCTATGCAAAGGTTAAAAGATTACAAATTTTCTCCATCTGTTCCAATCAAACAATATACTAGGTACTTTTTAATTTATCTTAATTAAATTTAAATTGATGGATAATTAAAAATATATTAGTTTATTTTTAGTTATCTTATGTAAGCATCTAGTAGCTGAAGAAGTACTGCAAACACAAGAAGTACAAACTTCTACTACTTTAAGGGATCTTCAAATTTCGGTATAATGTACACATATAGTTTTCGTTGCATGCAGGGATTTTATAATTGGGTTAACTAATTTTAAGTAATACACGAAAATATAACTTGTTTTATGCCATTCTTTGGAAATTTTTCCAAAATACCACCATTGAAAAAATGGTTTGCTTTTTAAAAGTCCTACTTGCAAAGAAATCTTAATTCATGCAATTTAAAAGAATTAAAACGGGAACAATTTTGGATTATTTGTTTCCAGTTTATGAGTACAGCAAGTTATAGATAATTTTTTAAAAAAGTTATATTTGTCTTACATAAGCTCTAATTCTTAAAATTTCTCATTTTTAACCTGGTAAAATAAAGATTAAAATATGTGAAATAAGATTTTAAAAAGTTAAATGTGCTAAGTTTATCTAAGTTGTGCAAAATTCATTAAAAAATCCTTCTTTTTTACAGGCTGCGTTGTTTCCCCTTAATGATTGAATCCAGGTTCTCTTTTGTAAAAAAACTTGTTTTACAGAGGAATTAATAGAAACTATTGAAATCCCGTAACGGTGCTGGAAATAATGCATGATGTAACGAACTTTCTTACATTGTATATATTGATTTCTTAAAAAAATTATTTAAATTTATTACTTACGTTTGCTCGCTAGTTGGTTAATATCTTCCAGGCTGCACCCAGAAGGAACACATATTCCTATTCTCAAGGTCAAGAAATAAAAGAAATGTGAGATTTTTGCTGCTTCGCTTAAAACCTGAAAAAAATATAATTTTATTTCCTGGAACTTTCTTGAATTTTATCAAAACTTATTTCAAATCCTGCATTTAATATTGGTTCCTTTATTTTTAAGCCTATTAATCGCATGAACCTATGTATAACCTATGCTCAAAATTCCGCCAAAAAAGAAGTCAATATTTAAATTTTGCATCATCTTGAAATTGTCAGCCAATTAGCCTACTAATATAAATACTGCTACTTTTCAAAATTGTGATGGAATGTCTTTATATTTTGTTAATTAATTGCAAAGATTCGTGTCAATTTTCACACGTGACTTCCACGAAAAGCTCTCATTACAGAGGAGCATACAAGTCACCGGCCTGTATATTTTTAATAACTTCTTTCAACTTTTGGTAGCTTATGAGCGTATGACTTTTAAAAAATGGAGAACAAAATTGAACAGCACTGAAAACATAAGGTTGTTTTGAAAAACAATTAACTTTCATTCTTTTTTTATTGTTACCAAATTAAAGTAACACAACTGATAGGGTAATTTTGCAAGTAAATGGTACTTATGGTCCTTGATTTTTAAAAATCTTATAATTAAAATCAACCAAGAAAAAAATGTTCTTTTTTCTCCTCCTATGCTATTTTTTTTCTCAAAATAATTCATAAGTGAAATGTACCAACAATATTGAGATTAAATAAAAAGTCAAATTAGGTGTTTTTTTCCCCCAAGGATATACTAACTACGAATTGAATGTATGGTATGAAATTTTCTTACAGTGTCTCCTTTGGAGAAGTTCTTGAAATCATCCAAAACTTCGTCTAGCTTGTAGAAGTTCTTCATCGGTGGAAGTGGAGGTCTGAAATCTATTGTGCAATATTGTCCTCTAAACAAAATGTTTCCTTTATCTCCAGATCTCTTGCTTGGTACTATTGTATTTATACACTCGTCATAGGCTCCGAAGGACGACATTGAACCGCTAATTGCACCATCAATTGTTTTACCACTAGCGTCAATAACTAAAATTAGAGAATGGAAGTTGTGTAAAAACATCTTGTTGTGTTATGATAATCATCATTAAAATTATCATCATAAGAAAGTGGTAAGAAACTAGAAATTATATATATA